TTGACCCAAGTAGGAAAGCTAGGTGAAAATCAACTGGATTTTTTACATTTACTCAAATTGGAAAATTTTTAAAAATTGGAAACTAATTTTGACATAAATTTAGTTTTACTGTCTTAAATTCATGTTCTTCAAAGCAATTTTCCTTGGTTTCTTTAAAAATAGAATTTGTGAAGTGGTTATCTGTCATTTATTAGAAAATTTAAAGTGCCGTATTGATTTGTAGTGATCTTCAGAGTGTTGCGGCCAGGAAGATACAGGCACACTGGAGGGGTCACAGAGTAAGGAGGCAGATGTGGGGGGCAGGGGGAAGAATAGGGGGTGCAGGACTAGATGATACAGACCACGTAATCCTACAGGAACTTCACCAGGCTGCTACTAAAATACAGGTGAGGGAGGTTCATAAGATTACTTATAAGACAAAGATACAATTGTATCCATTCCTCAGGTTGCTTCTAATCCAAAATTTTGGAGCTTTAATTTGAAAAAGACTATATGGATATGTTATAAAGAAAAACAATTTCTTGAATTATTTTTGTTCTCCCTATTGAGGATTTTTTTTTTCTGTCCCTTGTAGGCTGTTTGGCGAGGCTACATCTTGAGACTAAGGCTTGAACAGGCCCTAGAATTTGCCAAGTTTGAAGACGAGGATGATTATGATTTCCAGGAGGTGGATCTCAAAGAATTCAACTTTGATGAGGTACGTTTTCTGTTTCTAATAATACAAGCTGTTTTTTATCGATTTTCAGTAATTACCAAATTTAAAAAAACTCCTTTTTTTCTCTGATATTTGCCTTAATTTTAGAAGTTTTAAGCTTGTTAAAGTATTTTGGATTAAGAGTCCTCACATATTCAAGCTCTCTTAACATTGCCAAAATGTCAACAGCTTAATATACATGTACATATATGAAGTTTTTTGTATTACTAGTAAATTATTAACCAATTTTATTTAGGAAATGTTAGAAGATTGGAAACCCCCGCCTACACCACAACTTCCTGCAAAGTAGGTTACTGCTTGGTTCTTAGTACAATATAAATGCATTGTTTGTGATAAATAACAAGATAGAATTTCTTTTTTAAAGCATCGTGGTGAAAATAATAACTATTTTAACTATTCTAAGTTGAATTTTAGCCACCCTGTTCTGGGTAAACCTCCCAGTGGGAAGTTGTCCAGCCCTCCCTCTAAGGTGCCCCTCCTGAACCTCACAGACAAGCCTCACCCCCCTACCAATCCACGCCGTGCCTGGCGGGGGATGGACTCGCCCCTGTCAGATGTTCAGCAGAACGGGCACGTCCCCCGTCCTCCCTCCATTGTCAGTGTGACAGACACACACAGGACTGCTATGTCAAAGAAAGAGGAAATTCTCTCCGAGGAATGGTCAGTTTGTTTTGGAGTCAGTTTTGAACTTAAAAAAAGGTTCAGTAGCAAAAGGCAAATGATTTGGGAGTACTTTTTGTTTAGTTCATGTTTACTTTCTAGTCTGAACAATTTTACCTTAGTCAATACTACTGAATTATCTTGGAGACAATATAGTATATGTTCCTATTTTATCAAATAAAATTACTCTATTGTCATACCAGGTTAAGGATATGTGAGGTCTCAGATTCTCTGTACTACATTGCTCTTTGATATTAACAATTTTGACTTTTTCTAGGGGATTCAAGGATGCCAACACTGCACACATGATGATGCAGCGAGCCAAAAAACTAAAATACAATGCTGAACGCAGAAAGAAACTAGGCAAATTGGGTATATATATTAGATTTTGGTTGTATATAAGGTTTTAGCAATTGGGCTTTTGAAGTTTTTCTCATCTTACTTTTCTTCATTTTTATCAACAAACAGATCCCAAACAGAGACTTGCATTGTTCAGAAGACTTGAAGAAACTAACGTGTCCAGGAAGCCAGTGACGCACTCAAGACAGACACTCCCACGTAAAGAATACTTCCAAGGTCAGTAGTTATATGCTACAGTATATAACAGAGAAAATTTGTATGATTTAACATTAGAATTCAACAGAATAGACAAGTTCTTTGGTTGCAATGTGTAAAGAATATGATCAGTAGAAAGTGGAAATGAAAATAAGGGTCTGAATTCACAGTGCCAAGGACTGTTCATATGTTCATATGTTGAATTGCAAAGTTTTTATTATTATGTAACTTTCTTAATTCTTTTCAAAAATTGTGTTAGTAACAATTTATTTAAAAATTTTAATTTTACAAGAGAAAGAGGTTGTGAATGATTTTTTTTTCAGCTCGACAGGAGGAAATAGAGAAGGAGGAATTGGAGAAAAGAGTCATGTCCAACCTGAAGAACAGTCGGACATTTGAGTGGATCCATAACCAAGTGGGGAGCTTCGAGGAATCAGACCACAATGTCCATCCTCCTGTGTAAGATTTTTGTTGCTTTTGTTAGATTTTTGTCAGATCTTACTTGTACATATAAATTATTAAGTTCCATCTTGGTTCAAAAAGAGCTTTAAAAAATGTAGAATATATGCATGTATCGATGTTAACAAACAATTTTCATAATTTTCAAATCATATTCAGTTTATTAAAGAAATACTGTATACAGGGAAATTTTCGCCCCCGTTTTATTTTCGCCCCTTTCGCCCTCTTCCTGATTGGGCGAATTTAAAACGGTTTGAATTCAAATTTCACAGCATAATTTCTTAAACAAAACTATAACTGGGCGAATTTAAAACGGGGAATAATTGTTCGCAAGTGCAAAAGAGCGAAAATAACATGGGGCGAAAATAACCCTGTATACAGTAGTTTCCATGTGTGAATTGTGAAGATTAATTATGGTTCACAGATGAATAGGTATTGATCATCACAAAGAACTTTTAGCAAATATTATATTGACATTACCTGGTATTTATATGGTTATTTACATGTATGTGTGATTTACAGAAAACCTGCAAGACAGATGTATGGAGCAGACAACAACCTTCCCAGGATTGACCCCCAGGTGGTGGGGGGCAGGCACGTCAGGCTCACGGTAAGTTTGACAGTAAAGAACCCCTTTACTGATACAGCTCATTTTGGATATCCAGGTGAAATTATAATTTATCCAGCGTAGAGGGGAAAATGGACTCTTAATATTACAATATTCCACTCCATTCCTGCTAACATAAAAAGGATTTTGGTCCTAATGTGTGAAAAGATTCTCTAAAAAAAAAATATAATGAAATGTAGCAACATTGATATGTTTTAGTTGACACATTTCTGAATGCATAGACATTATGAAATATGAAGTGGTTTGTTTTATGTTGAATTTGATTATGTCATCTCTATTTATAGGGGAGTCCTGCCCTTGACCTTCAGTCTGTGGACAGTGTCAGTCTTCAAGGAGAAATGGCACATCCCCCAAGGCGATTCTCTGCAGGATCAGAAGGTACTTTGTTTAAAGTCTGTTCAGTGATTTACTGGGACATGTACATTATACAGCAAAACTTGGTTATAACGAAGTCACTGGGACCTATGAAATTACTTCGCTATATCCGTAATACCTTATAACCATATAAGACATTCGTTAAATTTATATACCTGGGGATCCAAGATGACTTTGCTATATCTGTAAATTCGCAATATCCGTGTTCACACTGAACAAGTTTTGCAGTATCTAGTTGTAGCTTTCATTGCCGTAATTCTGTGGCACAACCTGGTCTAAATAAAGGCATTTTCTTTTCATTGTCCAAATTACTTACAGTATCTTTTTTTTTTTCCACAGCATCCAGTGGGGCAAGGTTTCCTCCAATAAAAACCAGTTCTGCTGGGTCAGGAAAGAAGAGAGAGAGGATTTCATTCAGAGACAATGAGGTCAAGTTGGGGGTAGGGTGGGGAGGGGGCAGGAAAAGGGGGCAACTTATGTGATCTTTCCTGTATCAGTTACATGTATATGAAACCAATTTCTTTATGAATTTAATGTTGAAAACAAGTGTTTGGTAAATGCTACAAAAGTATTCATTTAAAAAACTAGTTTTGAATTTTTTATTTTTTGATTTTTTTTATATTCATCAAATTTGAGCTTTGCAGTATCATTTTGAACTTAAAGTATACTTCAAGAAACCATGTTTGCACTAAAACCATATCCTTATTGTAGTAAATTGTTCTTTGCAACATCCTACCAGTTTGAAAATATAGCAGTTTTACATGAATTTGTTCAGCGATATACTGTAGAGGCACAAATTTTCGTGGGGATAATATTTCGTTGATTTGTCATCAAAATTAGTTTCGTGGGCATTTAATTTCGTTGTTTTGAAAGTTAACCTAGTCAGTATAACGTCATATAAAATTTCGTGTGGGATTAAATTTCGTTGATAATTGTAAACACCGAAATAAACAAAATTTAATCCCCCACGAATATTGAGCTTTTACAGTACATGTATAAATAATTGCTGAGAAGAAATCAAATACTGATGAGTTATCCTCCAAGTTTACTTGTACTTCACTCAATAATATTCAAGAAAATACATTTCTTTCATCAGGTTTTGATTTACTGTAAATGCTTAACTTTTTTTAAAGATATGCAAAGATAATGTTTACTATAGAAAAAATGTACATGAAAAAATATCAATTCACAACCTTAAACCTTGTGATATCATTTCACCTTAAGAAAGAAATTTTCATGGGGAACAGAATGAACATTTATACCTATTTATTATATAAAACCCATTCATTAATCTGTATACTTTATTAGTCTGTATGGTTTGCTTGGGAACACAAAAAGATTAATGAGCTAGACTTTACTGTAGTGTATAATGTGTACCAGGTCCCGTTTTCTTGACTTTGTTGTACGTGACGTTTCAATGCTTTTCTGTGATCCAAGCTTCAGAATGTTAATGTAAGTTATTTATTTATTTTTGATGTTTTGAAATAAAATCTTGTAAAAACAAATATTTCTATTAGTTTCTGGAATATTTAGAATATTTTTTTTCTTTCGACAAAGTTTTATTTTACACTATTATCATTTGACTTTAGGGTGAAAACTTAAATTGGATGAATATGCATGCATTTAATATTAAAAAATAATTTTATTAACGTACAAAGTGGTATGTCAATTTGGTAAATAATAATACATAGACAAGTTAAGCGATGTCCAGCATCCGCTACTAAACAAATAATGTTGGATACAATACAATATACAATACCGGGTACATATATTATAAAATAATTGTTACATAGAAATCATATGGTGCCTGCACCACTTTCTTCAACAGATACATGTACACAGTAAAAATTTCTTCAATTTCAACAAATTGTTGCTAAAGAAAGATATTGCAAAAAATTATAACAGCTAGTAACTGAAGAGTTTCAGTATCAACTTGACATCAAGACTGTATTTGATAAAAATATTTTTTTAAAAATAAATCATCATACTGTAATGACACAATGGCCCAAAAAAGCAGCCATGAAGGATGAGTACTGTGCAGATTATTAACAAGTGGATTTCTCCTAGACTTCAGTTGATACTCTAGTCTTTCTTTTCAACATCTTGTTTGTTACTCATTTTCTCCATTTTATGTTCACTGGACACAGGGTAGTCCTTTTTCTTGAGCGGTAAAATTGCAGACAGTTTTTCATGGACAACTTCAATCTTTAGGAGCTCAAAGAATAAAAACACTAGAATGATGATGATAAGGTAAACAAACCACAGAGCCCAGACAGCTGTGTGGGCGAGGGCTAGGAAGACCCCCAGGGAAATGTTGACCAGGGCCAGGGCTACAGCCACACGCCCAATGTTGTGGTGGAATAACTCCCAGATCCTCCTCTTTAGAGTTTTTTTCTCCCCTTCTTCTGGTCTGTGTGGGCGACTGTGTATGAAATACATGTTAGCAATTATTAACTCATACATTTATCAAAAATTTTACCAGCTTCTAAAAATGATTGGAGTTAGCTACATGTATTACAATCGGTAAAGTTTGCTATTAATTTGGAATTTTGTTATATGTGTTAAATTATACTTACATGAGAGCATTGAAAGGTTGACTTAGACCTAGCAGCATGATTATAATTCCTATGGCACCATGTGCAAACTTAAAGTGGTCAAATTGGACAGCCACTATACCCATGACCAGACCAATAACACTGAGGACCAATCCTGATACCTGTAAAGGAACAGAACAATCTGAAGGCGAAGAACCTTCATAACCTGACATTTACAGGGCAGTCCTTGCTAATCAAGATGCAAATAATCTGCCTATTGCAGACAAACTTTTTGGGGGGATAATTTATTTTAACATATTCATCAAGTATGTTAATCAGGATGCTTCATTCACACATTTAATTTGCTTATGAACACAACTTTCTGGATAAAAAGGTGTGGCTGTACATATAATTATATTTTTTATATATGTACTGTAAAATGTACATACATAGTATCAAAATATTACAAGAACAGGACAACCTAACAGTGAAAGACAAAATCTCTATACTACCTGAAATATTCTGTGGAGGAGAAACCATGTGGTCCCAGAGGAGCTGAAGTATCTGGCAATGAATGTCCCCCAGACCAGACACACGCCCCACCCCAGGAACATCAGAATACCATGTACCAGTGGGAAATTAGTAAAAATGGAGGCACACTCCACAATGGCTGCCTGGTCTGCAGAGCTGGAGTTTCCACTCAAGAACCAAATGTCATTCATCACAGCTTTCCTGTAAAAATGTTCAATATTGTCATCTTCTTGCAAACAGACATTCCACAAGAGGGATGCAGTTTGACAGCACATTACCCATGCAGTAACTACACAGAATATACTCAATAAAAAGAATTAATTAATGGATTCCGAGAAACAGAAATTAATTAAGCCTTTAAGTAGTAAACAAACTAGAACTGTCCAAACGGGACAAAATACCCCCCGCAGGGTTTTTCAGAAGTGCTTAATCAGCAATATTTTATGGATCTAAGCATGCTAAGAGAAGAGAGAAATGCTAAAACATTTTTAGTGCAAATGTAATTGCTCATTATATTTTTTACAAATGAAACGAAGGCGCAGCCTAATAAAAAATAGACTAAATATATGGACCAGACACAAATTATGAACTTTTTCTGTCAGTGACCTTGAACTTGCATAAATGACCTTGGTTCAAAGTCATGACACAACCTCAGTTCATAAGCAATGTCTGTGTGAAGTAGTAGATTCAAGTTTCTCCATAATAAAGAAAGATATGGACCGGGCACAAATTTTAAAATTTTTCTACCAGTGACCTTGAACTTCCCCAAATGACCTTGACCCAAGGTCATGACACATCCTTAGGTCATGAGCAATCTTTGTGTGAAATGAGAACTTACCAAGTTTATCCATAAGAAAGATATGGACCAGACACGAATTATGAAATTTTTCTTCCAGTGACCTTGAACTTCCCCAAATGACCTTGGTTCAAGGTCATGACACACCCTTAGCTCAGGAGGAATCTTTGTGTGAAATTAGAACCTACCAAGTTTATCCATAAGAAAGATATGGACCGGACACGAATTATGAATTTTTTCTTCCACTGACCTTGAACTTCCCCAAATGACCTTGGTTCAAGGTCATGACAAACCCTTAGGACAGGAGGAATCTTTGTGTGAAATTAGAACATACCAAGTTTATCAATAAGAAAGATATGGACCGGACACCAATTATGAAATTTTTCTTCCACTGACCTTGAACTTCCCCAAATGACCTTTGGTCAAGGTCATGACACATCCTCAGGACAGGAGGAATCTTTGTGTGAAATTAGAACCTACCAAGTTTATCCATAAGAAAGATATGGACTGGACACAAATTATGAATTTTTTCGTCCACTGACCTTGAACTTCCCCAAATGACCTTTGGTCAAGGTCATGACACACCCTTAGGACAGGAGGAATCTTTGTGTGAAATGAGAACCTACCAAGTTTATCCATAAGAAAGATATGGACCGGACACAAATTATGAAATTTTTCTTCCAGTGACCTTGAACTTCCTCAAATGACATTGGGTCAAGGTCATGACACACCCTTAGGTCATGGGCAATCTTTGTGTGCAGTAGTAGATTCAGCTGGACAGATGGACAAGGCGATTCCTGTATACCTCCCCAAACTTCGTTCACGGGGGTTATAATTATGTTTCAGTGTTTAATCACTATAAGTAGTTAAACAATTACGTTTCAGTGTTCATTCCTCCAAATAAATATATTCCTGTTGCTGTGGAAACCATGGCTGCTGATGCTCTCTTTGCAGGAAATGAACTGCTCTGAAAAGCATATCATGATTTTTTACTAATTTTTAATATATTAGCATTGAAGAGTTGACTGCAAATGAATGAATTAATTTCTTACTGTTGTAGTTTTACGATAAGTCCAGGACATTGAATCAGCGTCCAGTACTGCAACTGTGTCGGCAGGGGCTTCAGAAGTCTGCAAAAACAAATGTAATAATTCAACAAATACATGTACACTTATAGGATGGTATTATTTTTATAGTGTTTAAATATTGTACATATTTGAGTTATCTTTTGCCTACCTGAATAACTTGTCTGTCATTTTCAATCCCTCCGTACAACACGACTCGTTTTTGACCATTTACCTCTGGCAGCAAAGCCATACTGCTGTATGTCCTAAAGTAAAATTTTACATAAATTGATAAAATCCACATTATGATGTCTGTAACATCTTTGATACATATTTAAGGTTCCTTTTTTATTTTCAGGTTCAAGTATACATAATCTGTCGGTACCTGGGACTAGCGCACGGCGGTAGTTCTGTCCATTCTTGTTCTGCGCTTTTGAAAATCCAAGAATCCCCTGCAGGACAGGGGCCACCAGTTTGTCCCCCACTGAAATTAAATTTTAATGTAAAGTAAATGTCATTCTCCTGTTTAGTAAAGAAGGGTTTCTTAGAAAATAAAATATGATATTTGGACTTTTACTCGCGTACCTCAAACATCCACCAAAGATGGCCAATCGGTTGGCATCGATTACAGCTCCACTGTGAAGACATCGTGCATGAGGGTAGTTAGGGTCGTAGGGGTGGCAAAACCCTTCACAGAATCCTGTGAAATTGACCCGTGTAATTACTAAATCTCATTAATTAATTGTACTGCAATGCATCAGATTATAGAAATATTCTTACTAGTGGACCATTGATTTGTTGAAGTGTTTAAGACAAGAGTGTCAAAGTAACGTTTCCCGGCAAATCCCAGATTGACGTAGAGAAGGGGGGAACCCGGGTACACGCCCCCTACCGCTCCGTACCGCACACTGGGTGGAGTTCTGAATAAGAAAAATATACACGTACATACAAACGTGATTTTATCATTATATTATAAATTATACAATTAAAGAAGTTTTCAGCATGCAATACTTTTTTTCTTTGTCTTACCCAGTAGTTGAAACTTGAGTCCAAGTCGATGTTCTGAAATAAATAATAAAATATATCTTACTCTGTTATCGAGTGTTTCATTTTGAGATAGTCAATAGCAAAGTTAAAATGAGAGGGTGAAAGTGTACCATTTAATCATGTAGCATTAATTTTCAAAAGAGGGAGGGGGATTGAAACCCCTTGAATTGAAGTCTGAAATAGGACCATACTTATTTCCAAAAAATAAAAAAAAAAATAAAGGAGAAGTCATTAAAAGAATCCAATCTGCTGAAACAGGAAAATCCTACCGTTTTCGGGGGGAGATGTTATAAATCTTTCCAACTTTTTGGCATGTTTTTAAATTCACATGCAAAGAATGAGCCAACACTTTGTCCAATGCCGCAACAAAAAGTGTGTATGGGGGGGGGGGGGGGAGATGGTTGAATAGAATATCACCATGCTAAACTAACAGGAAAAGATTATTTTTTAAAAAAGTCCCCAACCCTTGTACTACGGGGCAGTGAAAAAAAAATGATGTCGAGCTTCCAATAATTTCTAAAGCAATATTATCATTTGTATTTCAATAATGATATTTAAAATCGGTATTTCGCGTAAAATATGAAAAAAGTAGCAAAAGAGAAAATATACGTCCAAATTTACATTTTCTCAATCTGATCAATTTTCTAAACTTTATAGTGTCTTTTAGCGGGAATTTCACTTTCATTAATTTTATATCACTTATAAAACATGATATGTAAAACGTGACTTTTTTCAAGAATTGGAGAATGCAAACTTTAAAGTTTTATTAAACCAACTTAGTTCATATACACGAACCCGGATACGAGGTCTTTTGTCAAATAGGAAACCGCGATGGACCGAATCATGTCTTCTATATACTTGATATCCTGTTAGGTACTTCCGTACTTACGTGACGTCGAATCTCCACACATCGTTGTAGAAGAGCTTGCCTGGCCCTTCCCCCGTAGTGATGTAGAGGAAGTTACCCACCACCCCGTACACCATGCTGAAGCGGGCACCAGGTCTAGTAGTCGTACTCTTGTCTGCCCACGTCCCTGTGTTCATATAAAAATTACAAATCTACAAATATTTACTCTTTACGTAGATTTCGGAAGATAACACCACCGTTCCTCAATTTGCTGGATCTGTTCTGAGAAATGTATATATATTATGATAAATAAAATTGTCTGAAGTCGGAAATTTTAAATGTAACTTCAAATTTTCAGATGAATTTAATTCAAAGTGCAATCCCTTTTACTTTAATTCATCACCAATTTATTAAAGATGCAGACCCAGTGGTTGAATTGCAATTTCAAGAGGGAAAAATTACAGTAATTTAAAAGAGTATAAATATAAATTCATTTGACAATAAATTATATCAAAGTTTATAATAACTCTACTCTGAATTAAAATGAAAAAAAAGTTCTCAAATTAAGAGCATTTCGAATTACAAAGGTACATGTACGTATATATGTAGGCGGGAATCAAAAAATAGCATCTTATCGATCATTTACTCCCCCCCCCCCCCCCCCCACTTTACATTTTTTCTAGTCGAAGAGAGGGGGAGGAGACAGACAGAAAGATAAAGAGAAAAACCCCTCTCCGAAACACATTTTTTTTTTTACATTTTCAAAGTATCTTTGGCTCCTGACTAGATTGGAGGAACTGTCGGCAACATCATCGATTCTTACCTCCAGCGATATCGAATTCCCAGGTATCGTCTAATATTGGGCCACCTCTCCCCCCAAAAACTACCAGTTTGCTTTGAGTTTGAAAGTATCCCAGCGCCATGTCCCTCCGTGCTGACGGGGTGCTCCCACCACTAACGGTGACCGATGACCATTCCAAGGAGTCAACGGATTGGACCAGTACAGAAAATAGCCACAACACGTTAGGATGTAACAACATTGTTCTCTGAGAAACCAGGAAGGAAAAGGTTTTTTTTTTAAATAGGCACAAGTCAGACTAGTCTGTGATAACCCTGTGTATATACTCAATATTTTATTAGGGCTATATATTCTCTGTTTACAACACGCTGAACGGTAAGAATAAACATCGATCGAGTTTTAAAACGAGACCAGCGCGCAATCATGCGAATCTCATGAATAAATTGAATGTTCTAACTAATGACACGTTGTATGCGAGGCGTATTCTAAAATATTGACTGGTATCTAAATTTTCGTTAGTCCGGGTATACCGACATAACCAGTGGGAAAAACATAGAAATACATGTATACTATTCTGCGTTCCGATCGAAACATTGTAATCATAGTAACTCTCCCAACCTAACCCTTACATTGTTTTTCTAAAAAAAAAAAGGCAAATTTAAAGAATTGTGGTCCCCTGCTTTCGGCGTCTTTGTGGATTAGATGTCATTTTTATGGCATATTGTGTCAAATATGAAAGCCCTAGCAAACGTCATTCAGAAGTTATCACCAAAGTTGATTTTTTAAAATTAGGTCAATCTTGAAGGTCAAGGGGTCAGAAATCATAGCATGCTCGGAAATATCTTGTCACAGGTAATGTACTTGTCAAATATGAAAACCCTATGTCTTCTCAATCAAATTTTTTAAGAAAAAAATTACATTTTTGAAAAGTAGGTCAAACATCAAGGTCAAGGTCACATGGTAAAAAATCATGGTGAATTTAGAAACGTCTTGTCAAAGGCAACAATCAGGTATAATATGAAAGCCCTAATCTCTTCCCATTCAAAAGTTATGTCCAAGGTTAAAGTTTGTGAAAAGTAGGACAAACTTCAAGGTCACGGTCACGATATAGAAAATCATAGTGTACATAGAAAGGTCTTGTCACAGATAAAAAACGTGACCTTCAAGGTCAAGGGGTAAAAAATCATAGTGTATTTATAAAGGTCACAAGCATTATAAAGCTTTAATATGAAAGCCGTATCTCTTCTCATTCAAAAGTTATGACCAAGGTTAAAGTTATTTTAAAAGTATGTCAAACTTTAAGGTCACGAAGTCAAAAATCATAGTGTATTTGGAAAGGTATTGTCACAGGTAATTTACATCTATAATATGAATTCAAAGGATATGAACAAGGTTAAAGTTTTTGTGACAGACGGAGCGACGAATGACGAGGTTTAATGTCCCCTCGTTTTCGCAAAAGCACGGGACAAAAAAAATTCGGATAAGATTCTTTGCACAGGTAGGAAAGATCCCCAGCCAATTTTCTTTTTTACAAAAATGAGGTCCACACAATTTATGAAACTGTTGAAAACGGGAAAAATATACACTGTCTTTAATTAACGATTTTCAACGATAAAAAGAAAACAGCATCCCGATAGACCATGCAGTCATAGATTCAATCTAATGGAGATCAGATTGGTCAACAAATCGTGCAGAATGCCTATAGTGCGACAAACATGAAGGTGAAAATTTTTAATCTCGATTATAACAAAATTTGTTATGACAATTCATCTTACATTAAAGGTGCTTGGACTCAGATTTTTAGGATAATATTTTATAAGATTTTCGGTATTATATTATGACTTATATGTTGCTGTAGCATTTCACACGGAAATAAAATAAACAAGCAAATTCAAAGAATTGTGGTCCCCCGCTTTCGGTTTCTTTGTGGATGAGATGTTATTTTTTATGACATATTGTGTCTAATATGAACATCCTATCATGTCATTTATCTAGAAATTATCATTGAAGTTGTTTTTTTGGAAGGATGAAAACCCTAATCCTGGCCGTTAAAAAGTTATGGCCAAAGTAAAAAAAGTTTTTTTAAAAGTAGGTCAACTCCAAGGTCAAGATCAAAAGGTCAATTTTTTTTTTTATTCAATGAAAGGTTTTCTCGCAAGGATTACATATGTGAAGTATGAAAGCCCTAGTTCTTACTGTTCAAAAGTTATGGTCAATGTTAAAGTTTTTTCATAAGTACTTAAATATTTAAGGTCAAGGTCAAAGTTGTTGATATCCAATGAAAGGACTTGCCACAAAGAATACATATATGAAATATAAAAGTCCTAGTATTAACAGTTAAAAAGTTGTGACCAAAGTTAAAGTTTTTTTGAAAAGTAGTTAAAACTCCAATGTCAAGGTCAAAGGGTCAAAGTTGTTGGTATCCAATGAAAGGTCTTCTCACAAGGATTACATATGAGAAGTACGAAAGCCTTAGTCCTCACCGTTCAAAAGATATGGTCAAGGTTAAAGTTTTTTATAAGTACGTAAATCTCCAAGGTCAAGGTCAAAAGGTCAAGGTTGTTGGTATCCAATGAAATGTCTTGCCACAAGAAATACATATGTAAGATATAAAAGTCCTAGTATCTACTGTTAAAAAGTTGTGACCAAGGTTAAAGTTTTTTAAAAGTAGTTAAAACTCCAGGTTCAAGGTCAAAGGGTCAAAGTAATTGATATCCAATGAAAGGTCTTCTCACAAGTATTACATATGTGAAATACAAAAGCCTTAGTCCTCACCATTCAAAAGATATGGTCAAGGTTAAAGTTTTTTAATAAGTACGTAAATCTCCAAGGTCAAGGTCAGAAGGTCAAGGTTTTTGTTATCCAATGAAAGGTCTTGCCACAAACAATATATATGTGAAATATGAAAGTCCTAGTACCTACTATATAAAAGTTATGGCCAAAGTAAAAGTTTGGAATTTTTGTCTATAATTATATCCAAGGTCAAGGTCAAAAGGTCAAATTTGGTGGTACCCAAAGAAAGGTCTTGTCACAAGGAATACACATGTGAAATATGAAAGTCATAGCTCCACTAAATCAAAAGTTATGGGCAAGGTTAAAGTTTTTGTGACGGACAACTGACAGACGGACAGACTCACGGACAGACGAATGAGATAATCGCTTTAATAAAAATATTTTATCTGGAAATTACTGAAACTAGGATCAATATGGAACCAAGACCCACTATATCTTAAATGTAAAATTTTAAGATTTTCAAAATTGTTTATATGATTTTTATTATCACAAAGCATCAAGATCTCTGACATAGCAAAGTGGATTGCGTGTAAGTCTCAAAGCAATATGATAATCCTGATTTTTATAGCTAAAGTTTGAATCTCTCGAAAAAAAAATTATATTAAGGAATAATTTTTTCCCCAGAAAGTTTTGTAAAGTTAACAAAATTGAAGTGATTGTAACTTTGCCTGAAGCATGACCAAGACCTGTAATAGGTGAACATTTACTCAAATTACAATAATGGCCCAACGGTTAATCATTCAAAAACGTGATGTGGCGATCTTTTGTTAGTAGAGCAGAACTATGCTACCAGTAAAGGTTACATGTATGTTTCTTAAATGAATGCATTTGATTTAATAAAATACACGTAATCAGGATTTCATGCTGATTATTATGTTCCTTGTATCAAAGTCATATAAACCTTGTTCTATATGAACTAGGAAGATATATATACTAGAAAGCAGTATATTCTGTTGTTTGAAGTTATCGCCATTATAAATTTAGAATATATTAATTTTTTGCAAAAATAAACAATGCTGCTGAACACATTTTGAAGCAGAGGGATCAAGTATGAAGGTTTTATGATTTCTTGCAATAAAACGGATAAGAAATGTGTCTTTGTGGTAAAATAGCTATTTTCCCTACAAATATGAAATTAAAAACTATGGAACATTAATAGATCATGCGTATGTATAGTTTATTTTTTGAGCAAATGTAAATCACAGGCACCTGAAGTATGGATAATACCCCCCCTTTTTTGTTAATAAAAAAAAATGTAAGAGTGTATAATATCTCAAAAATATAGTGAGAAACACATCTATATGTCGTTATAATATGCAAGCAGATTGTACTAGCTTTTTCTCACGTTTAAATAATGGCCCTATTCGGTATTATAATAAAAATACACAAGGTAAGAAACAAAAGTTGTAAACAAACGGGGGGACCCCTGCTTCGAGACAGATTTCCAAGGTAATAACAGTGTTACCTATCATACTTTTGCAAGCACTCTGTGAGGGAGATGTTCTTCTACTAAACTATTTAACCTAAACCTCGCCATCAATGTTAAATATGCCGTAATCGAACGATTTATTAATCGGATACATAAAATTTTCTCCATTGGCAGCTTAACCCTATCGCTCTGTTTCGCTTTATCTGATTCCCTCTAATTTTAAATAATGGATATATGCCTCCTCCCTCTCACCCCCTATCAAAATTATCAGACTGTACTGAGGCCCGTTCGAAAACTGTCTGATAATTTTCCCCCGAATCCTATGAGGCATACCCCTTCCTAAAACTCCATTTAAATGTCCAAAAGTTACCTGGAGGACCCCCTAATAACACTCACCCTTTCCCCGTCTAATATTAAAAGAAATGAGTGAACGGTAAAAAAGTGAGTGAACTCTTGTTTCATTAATTTCATTCATTCAATGGCAGTCGTTTCGTTCCCCACCCAGGGGTACGGTTGAAAGATTTTTTGAGGGAACATTTTTATTTATGACCATAAATTGACATTGATACTCCACATAATTTTCATATTTTAACCATCACCGTGGCAAGTTAAATGCGGATTTCCCCCTCTGAATTTTTGGATAATGGACACAGGTTTTGAAAGTGAGAGGGAACAAACATAAAAAGATTGCAGAATCTTTTTTTGTTTGCCTTTGTTATAATGACATTTAAATTTTATTCAAAGTGCTGAATAAAAAACTTTTAAAGATGTGTTTGTGAAAAACTTGGAATTGCCCCCATCGATTGCTATTTTGCTGTGAGATTAAATTTTCTGAAATGCAAAATATTTTGGTATTTTTTTCCAAACATTTTTATTGGGGGTCTTCTAACACGAAATACAGTTGTGTTGCTTTTTAAACCCTAAAGAAATAACCTGTCCAAAAGTTATGGAAAGGATAATTTTCTTGAAAGGTAGGTCAAACCCCAATGTCAAAGGCTCAAAGTTAACTGTTTTCAAAGAAAAATCTTGTCATAAGGATTACATACTGGTGTATTTGAAGCTAGTAAATCTGCTTGCATATTATAACCGTTTAAAGGTTATGACAACGGTTAAAGGTTTTAAAAAGTAGATCAAACTCCTACATCAAGACCAAAAGGACACTTGTAGCAAACTCCAGGATCAGGACTAAAGGGAGACTTGTACCAATGTAAAGCCCATCTCCCCTTCCAAAACATAAATATAGTGGCTCGGGGGGGGGGGGGGGATCGCACAGTATAACTACAGTGTTGGATTTCTCCCCCAGAATATTGACTCCGGTGTGGGATTTCCGTAGGGGAAATCCTGCTCCAGGGCCAGTTTTCCCGGGGAGATATCCTACTCTAGAGCCAGTTTTTATGGGGAGAAATCCTACTATAGAGACAGTTTTCCGGAGGAAATCCTACTCTAGAGACAGTTTTCCGGGAAAAAAGATTTTAGGGGGAAAGCCCACTCTACAAGACCGGTAACCAGATTTTAGACAATCCCGCAAAAATATTTTGATGCATGCATCACCCTTTTAATTTTTGTCATTTGCTGAATAAATTTAATACATATGATGAAAATTGGAACATGGGTTCTTTAGTACTTGTGCACTTTACTTTAAGCAGTATCCGATTTACAAACTGATAAATAATTATAATCAAAAAATAATATTGACAATTGACAATTATTTAAAATAATACAATTAATTCAAAAGAACTTCGTTTCAAGGGAATATAATTGTGTATTGAGTGTTCGATTTCTGTCTAAAATCAATGTTTAAATTAAAAACCAAAAAAACGTTGATATTACTCGTAAAGGAATATGTTTATGGTATATAGTATTTGCCATGTCCGACGGTCTAGTTGTCTGTCTGTCTGTCTATATAGTTGTTTGTCCTCAAAAATTTTAGTCTTGCACATAACTATTGAGTGGATGTGCCTTTGGCTTTCATATTTCACATATCCTTGTGACAAAATATATAAAATTTCCCCGTCAAACACATCTATATCTCTTTACCAGACACATGAGCAGGTGGATTTCAATGAAGAAAAATGATATAATGGGCATCAAAAATGGGTACCGTCCTTGGCGACAAATTCAACGTACTTACAACAACCAATGTAATGTTTGCGTTAAAGACACATAGAAAAACTGATAGGCATCATTTTGTGGGGGGGGGGGTAGTTTACAATGTTTTAAAGAAACATTTGACATTAAAAAGCTTAGTACTCAAAGGTCACCCTATTTTTTGAAAAATGAGTGAAAACAACAGCGTGTAAGAATATCTAAACAATTATTTTTTAAAAAATCAAAAATTGAAGTTATCCACGTTTGTCTGAAATTCAAACAGATAAAAAAAAGATTCACTTGACAAAAAACAGCCAAGGTCTGAAAAAAGCAAAGAATTTCAAAAGCACAAAGATAGTTTTATATATCATTCTCATAAATATTAGTAGTCTTGTTGTTCAAATTATTCGGGGAGGCAGTTCAATTTTGGAGAAGTCTAGAAAGCAAATTTTTACAACAAAAAAAATTGAAAGGTTTATGAGAAGATGGAACCAGAATCAGGAATCCACTTCTTTAAATTTCGTCATGACAGCGTCCAAACCCAAAGGCCATGAAGAATAAAGTAGTTTTGGGGATAAGTAGAAAGTTAATGTTATGTCAAACCGACAATATTCGCCAGATCTTTCACCCTTTCATTTGTTTCATTACTTGAAAAAAACACCATTCGGAAAGAAGAAACAAGTCAAGTAAATCATAGAATCTGCCATATTCCAGTATACGAAGTGCAATACTCAAAAATGCGTTTTAAAAAACAATCAGAAATTGGATAAAAATGTTACGGACATGTGTTTCAATTAAAAGATATATTTAAGTAAAATCATTCAAACCTTAAAAAACGCTTTTTGTTGCTTTCCGAGCACCGAGGACATTATTTATTGAACAGCCCTCTTTTGTACAGTGGTGCTCGCCACTCTGTAGATTGTTCTAAAATATTTCTTAAGAATGTAAATCTATTTTGATGTTCCTCTTCCTCCTCGATATGCAGCTTGCTCTGGTCTTAGTCTGTCCTCTAGTCCATCTCTAATTCTGTCAATCACTATTCTGCAAAATACTTTAGATGACACTAAAAGTAGTGATATTCCTTTATAGATGTCACATATTGTCAGATCTCCTTTCTTGGATATTTTGACAATAAGCTATCTCTTCCAGTCTGTTGGTATTTCCTGCTCACTGATGATTCTGTTGAATAAATCTTTAAGCTCTGATGTTGAATATGATACGCTCTCCTTTAGTAGCTCCGCATCGATGTTAACTATGCCAGGGCGCTTTCCATTCTTCATTTTTTTGAATTGCCTTTTTAGTTTTTAACCCTCCTCCTCTCTTATTAGTGTTGTGTCAATTCATCAATTTTGTTCTCTTGGATGGTGCATCCTTCGGGTAATTCTGTTGTTTCTGTTGGGATATTGAGGACCTCTTCAAAATGCTCTTTCCATCTCTCCAATATTTTTCATCTTCAATGATTAGTTCACCATTCTTGGACCTTAGGCCACCTGTCCTGTTTCTTTTTCTCCCACAAAGCTTCGTGGCCAGTTTGTAAAGAATGGGTGGACTTAACTGGCCAGAAAAATGCCGTAAATTTAAGTTTCATAAAATCTTTATTTTTTTCCATCATATAAACCCCCGATATCTAAAAACTGTGTATTCATGGTACGGAAATGAATTTAAAACGATCTTTTCGAAAGTAAACTAAATAGATATCGAAGGCATGGTGCCTGAAGATTTCTTGAATATCAATAGATAATCAGGGTCACGCGTTTTTCATCGTCTGAATACATAGTCAGCGCATGTTTGTCGGCTGTTCTTACGAAAACTGTAGTTGTATATTGAACAAAATAATGTTATATTTAAAGGAGAAGTGGCGACAAACGTGCGCTCACACTAAATTTTGCAAAAAACATGTTCAAAATAAACTTCACGCTTCCATTGTTATGACTGCAATTGACCTGTTAAATATCACGTGATGTCCACCTGCGAGTGTACCCGTGAAAACAGTTACATTGTATTCTTCAACCTGACCTCGATCTAAATCGTGTCTTTGAGCGTGTTTTGTTGCCGTTTTCAGAATTTAGCAAATTAAATATTGTTTTAATTTTGCGTGTCATCACATTTTTAAAATAATTTCATATTGACATCGCTGTAAAATGTTAAACACGTATTCGAATTTTTGGAGAGAGAGAAGGATAGAGAATGAGAGATGTCAACAATGACGCCGATCTATAGCCCCGCCTCCTAAAAATATTGATTGTGTGACATAAAAATCACTCCGGGTACATGTCAAATTCCGGAAGACGACACTCGTGTATCGTTGCTTCAATGTTGATACATGACAACAGGGCATTGTTTTTGCAATAAAGTTCCACCTAATATAACCAAGTATATGTGGCCCTTTCCATTGCTCGTAATATATTTGGGATTCACTTCATTTTCAGCTTGGTAGAGGAGTCGCAAAAAGATCCAAAATAGGGCGTTAAGTCCACCCATTCTTTCTTTCGGACGGTTTGTATTTGCTGAATTCTCTGCTTCGTTAACTGTATTTTCCAGATTTTCCTTTTATCAGCTCGTGCTCTTCTATTCACTTCTTTGTCCTTGGTCTTTTATTCTTCTCTCTTAATTTCATTCATTCTCTAGGACTTTGATCTTCCTATTTCTTACTTCAGTTTTCTTCTTTCATCTATGGCTCTGTATGTTTCTGCAGTAAGCCAGTCTTTGTGCTTCCTTTTATTCTCGCCCAGGATCTTTTCTGATGTTTCAGTATATACTTCTTTCTCAAGAAACCATTTTTGATTGATTGTGTTTTCGTCATCAGCTAGTTGATGAAACCTATTTCTTAATTCAAGTTGGAACCCTTTGCTTATTCTTGGATCTTTCAGCTTGTTGACATCATACATCTTCCTGTTGATTTCCTTTGGCTTTAAGTTTCTGCAGAGCTTCATCTTTACTTTAGCCAGTACTAGATGGTAATTTGAAATGGCATCTGTACCACGCATAACCTTTACATCACAGACAGACTTTCTGTATTTGCCATTCACCATAACATGGTCAGTTTGGTTCCTATCTCTTCCATTAGGTGATTCCCATGTAGGCTTGTGTAAGTCAAGGTGCTTAAAGAGGGTTCCGCAGATGACAAAGTTATCAGGAGCGCACATTTCCGCTAACCTCATGCCGTTTTCATTCATAGTCCCAATGCCCTCTTGTCCTATGACTCATCCCATTTTTCATTCGACTTTCCAACTTTTGCATTTGCATCACCCATTACCATCAGTACTGGTATGTCATGCTTTGACACTTTTGCCATCTCTTTTTGTAGCTGTTCATAAAAAAATGGCGACCTTATCCACTTCGTCTGCTTTCTTTGTTGGGCTGCATATTTGTATTATTGTAAGCTAAGCAAAGCGGGAGAAAAAGCGTGCGCTAATATTTCTGTCATTAACAGGATTCCATTCCATCAAGCTTTGTCGGCTCTTCCTGCTGAGTATAAGTCCTACTCTTCTATGATGTTCCTCAGCTCCGGAGTCTCCAGAGGTTATCTTTAGTTCACCAAAGCCTGTCCATCTTACTTCGCCCATTATGTCCAACTTATATCTGTTAAACTCTCTTACGATATTAGCTGTTTTTCCAATCTGGAACATTGTTCTTAATTTCCATAATCCGCTCTTGGTGATGTTTTTAGGTGTTGTTATAAATGGGATCTGTGTTCCTTTCAGGCCGTTAGGGTCCTCTCGGCTTTTCCTAATTGCCGTCATTCACTCGAATTCCCAGTGAAGGCAATCCTCTTCTGGAATCTTGAGAGCATATCCCGCTTGCCCTTCCTTCAGTGGTACTAATTGTTGTAACGGTTTCCGTAATCAATTGTCTTTTATGGAAGGAGGTGATTAGCCTCAATTCCAACCTCCATTTATGTCTGGGGGGTCAACATCGTAGTTGCTATCGGTCTCCTAAAAAAATCCGAATTGTAATCAGAGTTTTCTCTCCTAGATGACCTCATCTTCCAGTGCGCCCTTGCGAAGTTAGCCTGGGGCTGAAGGGTGCCCAGTATCCGTCTGCTTCCACGGGGAAGCATCGAATTGGACTTGTGGAGAGGCTATGTACTGGCAGGGGAAGACTTACAAATTGCTTCCCTTTTGGCATTGCTGCTAGCCTGCGGAGAGGACTGAAAGCGAGAGGTGACAAGCACACAGACAGACACCAATACCAACACATTTAGCAGACAGGCAAATAACTATGAAGGGTAAAAAATGTTCATTCTGAGCTCACTAAATGATACCCCCGCCTCCTATATGATTACATGTATAATGAAAAAGTCCATGTTTCTGCTGTGGGAGACAAAATATTGGTACCAGTAAAACATATATACATTTTAAACAAACTGGTCAGAGGTACAAAAAATATAATATATACAATACAAAAGTAAAATAGAGGGTCATAAATTTTGAATAAACATACATAATTTTTTGGCATTGTCCCTCTGTACGAATAATAATTACCGTCCATCATTTAGGGGTACCAATCTCTTATCCGTATACCAAACTCCTCTGGAAAATTATACCACTAAATGAGAATTTTATAGATTCTTTGTCGCATCGTGCCATCGAGCACCTCAGCTCCTATTTTACTTTTTGATCGGAAACATATTTCAGGTTTCCCATAGCAAAACATTGACACTGCCACTTTTTCTATAATACATATATTGAAAGGTACCCATCTCTTATCCGCAACTCCTATATCACTGAATAAAATTTATGGATACTTTCACAGATTTTTTCATTACATAATGCCACTTCCTAATTTTTACTTCTTGATCTGACACTTATTACGGGTCTCCCAAAGCAAAACGTGGATTTTTCCATTATAACGATATGGGAGACGGATGCATCATTTAGTTTTATTTACCATTTTTTTCAAATAGAAAAAATGTTTTAGTTTCATTTAAACAACACATGAAAACCTCGGGTGAAGAAAAAAAAATGGTTACAAAACATATCTTTTTTTAAAAAATGAATAATTACAAGGATATGAGCATGAAAAAAATAATTTGAAAAATTGAAACTAATTTTTTTTACGGACACCATTTTTTGATATACAAGATATGCATTTGTTCACATTGCAATTTGCAACGAAAGAGTTATCTTTCTTATTGCATACTAAATTGGCTTGGCATGCAACTACCACATTTCTTCTTTTTGTGACCCCTTAATCGAAGATATGGTGATTTATAGTTTTTGCTTTGTCCGTCCGCCCGTCTGTCTGTTTGTCCGCAAAAACTTGAACCTTGCCCATATTTCACAGGTGTATTTTTTGTGCATTTCTTAGAGTACCACCATAATGACCTCTTGATCTCGCAGTTGGTAACATAGTTTAAAGTATTATTAATTATTGAAAAAAAAATAACTGACAAGTGGAAAAAAAAGAAAGAACGCACGTGTGAATCTTGAAATCGGTACAATATCCAAATTCGTTAATCGGAAGTATCATGAATCATACATTCATGTGTGGTCTTTTTTCGATTTAGCGATATGGTGTTATTTCCTTCACCCAAAACCTTTGAATGCTTTTTTCTGCTATAATCCCCGGTTTTCAATCTCAAATTCAAGCTGTCCTAAAGTGAAGTATCAGAGTTAATATTTCGTATAGACGTGTCAAATTTTGACAAAAAAGACCTCAAAAACCACAAATTTCCTATATCAATTTAAACCTCCAAATAGGCTCTAAAAAATGCAAACTAAGATAGAGTTCCAAAGAAAAAGAAATATACTTTTATCAAAGAATATTCACAAGGTCAATAATAAATGGACAATTCTTTCTATTTTGTCCATAAAATTCTCATCTTTTTCCCAAGGTGCTTCACACGCTATTTTTTTGATTATCACATGTGTTAAATCATTATTTTTTTAAGATTCAAAAATGGCCAAAATGTTTCACATACCCTCATCTTCGTTAACCAACATACACTAAAACATTTTTTTCTGGTCTTTGATCTATATGATCTCAATAAAGAATATTCACGTGTAATTTATCTTTTTTTATTCATTTACAGTGGAGTCGCCAATTCCGGGTCGTCTCCAATTCCGGGTCACTCGCCTGTATTTTATGCCTAGTGTTAAAATTTAAGCACAAAAAACTTTATGAATATGCTGGTCATGAAGAACTAGTCTTTCTGTATGTAATTAATTATAAAATTTTGAATATAAACTTTAAGAGAGCATCCGACAATCAAAATTCTGAAACGCACGCTTTAAAGACTTGAATGTTTCTGCTGCGGTGACGGGCTACTTTCGCTTTTGTTCGCTGCAGAAAGGCTGATATAAAAGTTCTAGATAAATAATGATAGCTTGAAAGTATGGCAAATGCATTTAGTTTTAACTCAGAAATCAATCATAATGATCGCTGATCAAATAAAAGTATAATGATTATTAAATCAAACTGTAGTAGTTTCTCCAATTGCGGGTCACGCAATCTCGTGGCATGAACATGTCAAAATTCTATGTACAAAACCAATCGACAACCATGTATTTACCTTGATTATCAAAAGCATTCTAACTGAAAAATATTTTTTCTAAAAATTAAAATTTATCCCTTCAAATTAACCCTTCAAATGGATTTTTTTAATAAATGAATTTAATTGTATTATTTTAAATCCTAATACATTTTTTGTAATTCAGCATGTTTTGTTGTAATTGTTTTAAAAATAATTTAAACATATTTCTGTGGTTGTTTTACTTTTTTCCAAGCTGCATGAATTGTTTTATTTTTCAACATCATAAAAGTCATGTTCCAAAACCACACTGCTCAACGCGTTATCGGCAACTCGGTTGTTATCGGACACTCGGTGCAAGAAAAGCAATGTTTAGAAAATGTGGGTAATTTTAAATTTCATATTTCAACGATAAATATGTATTTCAGCATAAAAAAGTGTGTGATCTATGACAGATAATCGATTATACTTTCAGCAGCAGAAAGCACAAACCAAATCACCCTCTTTCGAAAGATCTACAACTCTTTCAAATTATATTTTACAAAAATTTCGGAATATGTCATCACATTCTAACTTCTGTAGAATTCAAAATTAGTTTATTCTATCAAACAAACTGGTCCACTTATTCTATGGACAATCAGATACCTTTAGATCAGCAAACTGGGATTAAAAATCCAAATTAAGGGTTAGTAATCAGTCTTTTAAAATGTCTCGTTAGTTGAAAACATGTTATCGTCAACTCGGTTGATGTTGCCGGATACTTCGGTTTTAGACGGGTGTATGTTATCGGAAACTCAGGTTAAAAAGTTTCCTTTAGCTTCATAAATAGATTGGGAAAAGTCCATTATAATCTGCCAATCCTTGAAAATAGCAAACGTAAAAGTTTGTTTTGATATGAATGTATATAAATAAGATTAATAATTATAAATTTATAACAGAACTACGTATCTCCAATAATTTTTCTTGTTTTCCATTCAAGATAACCTCTTGGAAACCGCTTCAGGTGGTTTCAAACGTAAAAAAACAAAACAAAAAAAAAACAACAAACAAACCAAGTTCAATTTCCCCCCCCCCCCCCATGATCCCCGGGGAACTAATCTTTTGTCCAACAATGTCAATTTATTATCACGTCACAGTTACCACACTGCTCAACGCGTTATCGGCTACTCGGTTGTTATCGGACACTCGGTTGATAACAATTTTTGACAGGTTAGTAAATTATTTTAAATAAACTCTGTTAAAATAGAAACAGAGAATAGTCATTGTGATTTTTGTAAACAGAAACGAATACGGATACAAAATAAAGCCAAGCTACGTATTACTATAGCATTTATTAGCCTTTGGAAGGCGTTAAAAGTCAAATTTGTTATATTTTGCGAGTTTTTCTCCGATTGGTATTGTTGTAAATGGCTTTTTTCTTCAAAATCCATATATTTACCTTGCGTTAATGATTGTCCACAAGAAGACTTCCACAGAATCTTGCGAATATGTAATTAAAGAGCAAAAATTGCCCAATTTTAACTTTCAGTATGTTATCGGAAATACGGTTGAATAATGCACTTTGTTATCGGATAACTCGGTTTTGGTTATCGGAAACAAAGGTTGTCATAGATTAGGGGGAAACTCAAAGAAACGACAGAAATCCGTATGAAACCTAAATATTTAAAGTGGCTGGCACGAAATTCTAATTTTTGGCTATAATTTGCCTCTTTTAAGAATATGTAACTTTTTAAAAAATGATTGCTTTTTTGGCATTTCTCACTGAAATCTGCATGATCTTGACTTCTTCGAAAATAAGGTATAAGTTTTAAATTTCATTTCAGGGTACCGAAGTCGCTCACGTGGCGCATTGGTTAGAGTGTCTGCTCTAGAGTCGCCAAGTAAGGAGTCGATCCTTACGTCGCGGGTTCGTATCCCACAGTGAGACGTCGAAGTGGGTACTAGCACGTACAAAAACGATCCCTCACTGCTCAATGGCCTGAATGCTGAGTATATGACAAATTTTGAAGCTCTCCGCCGGCAAGTGATGGCGTCTCCATCGACTGGAAAATTTTCAAGAGGGCGTTAAACAACATACAATCAAGGTGCTGAGCGCATGGCGAAGGAACAGTTGCTACTCGTTTTTATCGACTTAAATCAGTCGCCGCTGAAATTCAAACTCACAACCTTTCGAACACGAATACATTTATAAGTTTGGTATATACATGTGAAGCAATTAAGAATTTAAACTCAAGGGTGGTTAGATAAATTTCCAAATAGGTAGTTCGACCA